AGATTGTAAATGTCGATCAATCAAAGTACAAATACAATAACATATAGGAGGTGAAAATACATTTCATTCATGTACAATATATATAATGTATAAAAGTAGTATTAACATACATACATCATATTTAGGCTACACACAAACACTCACATGTATCCATCATTAAGACAACATACATCTCAAATATATCAATTCATTTTGAACCTCATTCAAATAAGTCAAACAATTATAGTTAATATGCATAAGCTAGGATCAAATTCATGTGGTGTCGAATCTCCTCGTTATCCTTAACTTAGAATAACCTAAGAGCCATGGAATAAAACTACCTCCCTCTGATGTAAGGATCACCTCCCTCCAATGATCCCCCTAATTCATCCTCAATTAGGAGACGTCTATCAGAGTGTTGTCAAAGTGTTATAATTGGTTGTGGTTGCCTCATACCAACCACATGAGATTCCTCACCATAACATCCCAAGGTCAAGGTAGATGATGATGGAGACCTCCCTTCCATGGTTGATAATGGTGTGTTGAAGAGGGTCTTGCCCATGATCTAGGCTCACCAAATTCTATACTACTCAAATTGGGCCTAGGAGATGGATCCATACATGGTATCTCTCCATTCTCCTAGCCATGAACCATGTGATGGGTCTCACATGAAGTACCAAGGATGGTCCTCCATCAGATGATCTTTGAGACCTACCTGTATAGATTCACATTATCCTACAAAAAAATATGCATGCATGGACTCCACAAACCACGTCAACACAACACATATTTGCAATAATTATGTGGTGATTCTTTGCTAGACTATAGCCTTGGGCTTCTCCACAAAATACCAAGCATTACTTGGATCTCATCAGTGTCTGTTGTAGCCTAAACGTACATATCTCATTGACATCAACATTACCACCATCAACATCACCTTATGCATCATGTTGTCATCAACACTATCTCATATACACATCAACATTATACATTCTTATTATCCATTCACCACATATTACAACATTCATCATTATAACATTATTATCATAACATCATCATTGAACCTCAAACACTAACATCATCAAAATCATAACATTATACATTATCATTACTCATATCACATATAGGTACTTAAAGAATAAAATAACTCACTACTATAACTCACAAATTATCCCCTTATTTTATCGAACGCATTAGAAAAATAACCACTATCGCATTTGCATACATTGTTACCACATTTTCCATCGTCCTTGCTTTTGGATTGGATTCGTGAAGATATGGCCAAACCTTATTCATAAATCCAAAGATGGAGGACTTGATGTACACGAACTAGTTTGAGGCCAACATAACTTTAAAGGTAAGGGTGATGTGGTCAAATTTGTGAAGGTAGAGCAATTATAGGTGCTAATTTTGGGCCAAGTGGACATTGCAATAAATGTCCACATGGTGCTTTTAGGTGATGACTAAGATTTGGGTCCATGTGGAGATTGCAAATCCAACAACTAGGATAGAACATTAGGGCCAACTAGCTTGGGAAAAGATAAGGTGCATTAATTTGTGGTACGAGGGAGTAGTTAGAATTGCATAACTACTATTGGAAAGAAGATAAGTTGAGTAATGGAAATCCTAAAATTTTAGGGGTTTCTCTATGGGAGATGTACTGGCATGTGACAAATTGAATTTGAGATAAGATAATAAAGTTGTATGATGAAGAGTGGTGGGATTTTCTATTTGAGTGTAGGGGTGGGATGTAGTCTTGTGGGGTGGGAAAGGATATGATTATGGTGAGAAATAAATACCACTAGGCTAGAAAATGGCATTCGGTGGTGGAGTTGAGGTGTGAAAGTCGTCATTAGAAATGAGTGTGGGATCATTCGCTTGAATAACATGAGGCAAGCAAACTGGTGTATTGGGTTTGCAAAGGCATAAAAGGTAAAGGGGAGATTTGTAAAGGTGTTATTGCAAAAAGTTGAAAGGGTTGAGCAATGTAATGGGTTTAATGGCTTAAGGTTGACGTTTATTATGCGGTTGTAGTAAACTTGGTAAGGTACTCAAAGATGAAGTCCATGATTTGTAAAAAGCAACACTAATGATAATCTTTCAAAATTTGTTGATTTGTGAGTCGAACTTGCATAGTCGCGAATTGGGAGGAAATGGCCCAAAGGTGGTTTTGCACGAGAGGTGGAGTATGCTAATATAAGCACCAAATGATAGAGAGCTAATTTTTAAAACTACTCCTAAATTTAGGATAAGATAAAAAGGAAATAAAACTACAAAATAAATACTCAAGTTCTTCATTCATTGATAATGATTTTCAAATAGGACTATATTTATATAGACCTAAATTGATGTTAATCAATGGATAATAATTATCCATGTATTACCAAGATATTATTTTAAAGGAAATAAAACAAAATAGTAATTTATAATATAAATATTCAACCCCATCCAATATTTTTTAACCTCTTTGGCTTTCAGGAATATTTGGGCCTTCTCAAGTCCATTTTATCACATTGGACCCAGTAGGTGGCTTAAGCTAGAATCTTATACTTTGTCTAAGAGAAAGATCTAGCAACTATTCGTTGTTTCTTGTTTTCGAATACACCCATAAGGTGCCAAGAAAGAAATAAAAACTAATTGTTGATCTCTTTGTATCAAAACAAGGTGCAAGCTAAGGTGGGTATGGATATCATGTCTCTCACCATAGGAAAGATATTTAATACCATTAGATGATCATTCAATTTTCTGAACGATTCAGATTTCCATACTACCCTTTTTTTCTTCTTTTCCTCCTCTTTGTCTTCATCCTTTACAACACAACTTGTTTTCTATCCCTCATTTTTCATAGTTGTGCCGCTGCTCAATATTCAAGCACCAACTCGTTTATTTTTCTTATTTTTGTTTGCTTTCATCTTAGATATGCAACATCCATGCAACCATATATGCAACACCCACAAACATGGGCAACGTAAGGGAAAATTAATGAGATAAGAAAGATGTGAGAAAATGAAAGGATAAAAGGGGATTGAATACAGTGGCTGATGGGGTTATTTTTACGGTATTTGTCTGAGAGGATAATTTATGAAATATTTTTATAAGGTTATTACACAAACATACTTATAAGGTTATTACACAAACATAGTCCACAATGATGAGATATTGTCCGTTTTGGGCCTTAGCCCTCACGGTTTTGCTTTTGGTTATCAAACAAAAGGCGAGAATATTTTATGAGTTATTTTTATAAGGTTATTACACAAACATACTCCACAATGATGAGATATTGTCCGCTTTGGGCCTTAGCCCTCACGGTTTTGCTTTTGGTCATCACCCAAAAGGCCTCTCAATCATTGAAGTATGTTTGTATTATATAAGTTGTTATTTGTTGTATTATTTTATCGATGTGGGACTTGTTTTAATCCCAACAGTGGCATCGATGGTAATGGCGAACTTGTGGTAACTCATGACCGTGACCTTCCATGGTGGCGAAAGGTGAAGTCAGATTGTTTTGATTTATGCAATGTATTTGTTTTCCAAGATTGTTTTTGATAAATTTGAATGCAACGCATATTGGAAATGAATATTTGTTTGGGCTTGCAAAAATTGATTGTCATCATAAGAAAAGTCGTCAGGTTGTTTTGATTTATGTAATGTATTTCCAATATTGTTTTTGATAAATTTGAATGCAACGCATATTGGAAATGAATATTTGTTTGGGCTTTCAAAAATTGATTGTCATCATAAGAAAAGTCGTCATTATCTTTAGACAAAATCTTTAAGTAAAGTCCAAAATCTGTAATTGATTCCAATTTACCAATGGAATATCTACAAACCAAAATCCTAGGTAACATTACAGATGAAAAATTGTCTCTTTCAATAACTACTGAAAATGCATTTTCATAGAAAATTTCATCATGACTTACCTATAGACGAATCCATTAGAAATTACCCATGGACTTATTTCTGGAATCATTCGTGGAAAAGTTGTCATTAACTCATCTATGGGAAGTTACCTACAAACTCATGTACGAGAAGTTAATTATGGACTCATCCATGGAAAGTTACCTACAAACTCATGTACGAGAAGTTATTTATGGACTCATCCATGGGAAGTTACTTTCAGGCTCATTTGTGGGAAACCTCCTAGTTGTCATTTTAACCACAACATTAAAAGTCTCCAAGTAATTTATACTTGTAGTATAGGTAAAACCCTTGACCACTAGCTAATATGACTTAGTGCATCATATTGGTTCAATTATAGTAGAAATATCTAAAGAAAAATGTTTGTGTTTAGAAGATAAATTGTCATATGAAAGGAATTGAGAGATGACATACTTGCTACCTTTAAGAAAGTAATGGTAGTCTTGTAAGTAGGTTAGTGTTCTTTTTTTATTTTTTATTTTTGGAAAAGCTTCTAGGTTTTGTTATAGTTGGTTTACGTTGTATGGGGTTTGAATTAGTGTGTATAGGTAAGTGCTTTGTTCATTTGGAGGGGTGTTATGTCCATCACCAGGGAAATGAAGTAAAAATTCATTTTGTGGTGATGTATTTTGTGTATGTGTGACACATTGGGATATAGGTGAACGCTTTGAATTTGTAGAGCTTAAGGAAAAATTTGTTAAAAAAAAGTCACATCTCGTAAAATGAAAACTTTTCTAAATTTTATATCAAACAATATATATCTTTTTGTTCATGAATTTGAATCCTAAGTACGTACATTTTCTACATCTAAGATGAAACTTCTTTCAATTTACTTATAAAGTTAAAGCAAAAATACAAAGAAGCAAAGGCTCTTAATAATTTGAAATCAAGAAAGTTTTTATATGTAAATATTGATGGATAAAAAGTTTCTATAGATAAGTACGTAGATTTTTAAACTAACAGAATTTTTTTTTATAAATCTAATTATTCATTTATAATATATAAATTTTGAAAGAATAACTACTTTGTTACCATATCAACAAAATATATTTGACCTCCTTTTATCATGCCAATTTTTTTTTTCTTAGAGTTAAACTACATGACATGATGTTTCAATTCTACAAAAGCATTGAGTAGCCCTTTTACGAAAAACTCTTATTTACCAACATCATAGATAGGAAGCAATTTGAAAAATAATAATTACAAAAGAAGGGAGGCAACTCACACAAAGCCTTTTTTTGGACTTGAATATTTAATTAGGACAAGACAACAACTTTACTCAAAATCCAAAGGACAAGGGAAAACTCAAAGGCAAACAAAGTATGAAGCAATCCACGATCAAGTGAATACCCATACACAGTAATTCCCCCGTGATTGTGTTGCAAATATGTCACTGCAATATCAAATTATATCACATTAGCAACTATTTTAAGGTGATATGTAACATAAAATTGTTAGATACATATCATATTATTATTACTAACTAATATGAGAATTATTAATTTAGAATTTGTTTAAATTTATAAAATTAAATTTAATAAAAAAATGTAATTCCTATTTTATATTAATTTGATAAATTCTATTATATAAGTAATGGATTTAAGTTGTTTAGTTCAATTTTTTTTTCAACAAAAAGTTTAAAAAATCAATATTCACAAAGAACATATATGTTTCTTAATCATACATGAATTTAATGGTCATTTATCCCCATTATAAAAAGTATTATAGTGTCTGTCATCTAATAAAAAAATTGTTAATATAATTTTTAAAATGATTATTCTAAAAATCAACTTATTAAACATAATTATTTACATTTAAATAATAATATGAGTTTAATAATGATGTATCGATAAGTTTGAGTATAACTATTTTAGAATGCTAACCTATTTTCACCTAACACCTAGTAGAGATTATTGAACTCACCTAAAGTTTGTCTGGTTTGGAAAGAAGAAAGTTGTGGGATTGCAGAGACGTGTATGTTGGAGGAATCATCAGAATCACTGTCACTTGCTAGCCCCTCAGAAACTTGAGTTTTGCAGTGCTCTGATTCAGCAGATGCAGTAGTCACCAGCATGTGCCATCGTGTGGCCATTGCCACTATTCCTTGAGCTCTGTGTGTGATTCTCGCTGCACCCAAAATGCACAAGAAGAACCCACTTATCTGCACTGCTGAACAAATCTGCATCACAAAACAATTTTCACTCTCACTCTCAATTAGGAGAATAGATACATAAATTTTGTACTCGGAGTACCTTATTAATTAAAAACATGGCACCTGAAAAGTGTAACCATATACACATGCCACATTAAATTAAATTTAAAAGAATAAATTTGAAATTAATCTTGAAAAATACATGGATGGTCATACATTAGTCCAATGTGTACACATGCATTGGATTAGTTTAAAAGTGATTGTAATTAGATAATAATGTATAAATCTTTTCACTTTTCAGAGTTAAACTCTGAATTTGAATGTGCTTACTTCTTCCCAGCTAAACGCTTTTTAGAGTATATATATATATATAGGGTGATTCCATCATCGTAGTTCCTCCTCCATCATTATCGTCACTACCGTTGTTAATAATGGTGGTAACAGTAGTGATAACAATAACAATGACGATGACAATGTGGCGATGGTGTAGTAGAGGTGGAAGCAGTTGTAATGATGACGAAAATAATGAAATAGAGAATTACAATAATAGTCATAACTTTATTTATCAAAGTTACACACTAAATTTGAATGTGCTTACTTACCAGAAGGTCACCAGAATTGAAGAAAGTCTTGTGAGCCTTGGAAGCCAAAACGAGTAAGAGAGCACCAAGCTGACTAACAGTGATGGTAACAACACAGCCAATAATAAAGAAGCGATACCTATGACTGGTAACCCACAACTGTCTCCTAATCCTGACGTGCTCTTTGAATATCTCCCCAGCCTCAGACCCGCACCCTTCGAACAGCTTGTGGACCCCTTCGAACCTCAGCTTCTGGAGCTCGCACGTGAGCCTGAACAGCACGCACACCAGCAGGAACACCCCCGTTCTGTACACCCACGACACCAACACCAACACGAACGCTATCGAGTTCACCGGCAACCCCGACCTCGTGTGTGGCAACGAAACCTTAACCGCTGAGAAGAATATGATCTTGTGCGCCAGCTCCACCAAGAAGGAGGGTAGCATTATGTATGTCAAGTATCTGAAGGCCTTCTCTAGCTCCCGTGTGTACCCGCGTTTCACGTAGCTCGTGTCTTCTTGCAATGCGTCTAGAAACAGAAGCTGTCGAAGCCCGTACCTGCATTGCATTGCATTTGCATCCATAAACAAACAAACAAACATATCACTAACATAATTAATCACTAATATGCATATTTGTCATGTCACTTGTATCGCTGTCTGTCGTGTCAAAGACTAATCTTATTTGTAGTAGTGGGACACAGCCATTGATCCAAAAAGATTTTGAACATGATAGGATCAAGTGCGAGGTTTTTCACTAAATAAATTGTAATCTGATTAACAATTATGTCGACACATAGGACTTGAGCAAAGATTTGTGTCTTGAGAGGATTGAGAGGAGACAAAGATTTGTATATGTACAAAATCTCAATCTTTGACTATCTTAAGATTGAACCAATTGTACGCTTAATTTTTCTCGTGATAAGAAAATAATGATGATTGTTAAAGAGGTTTCGATGCAATGGATTGAAGATTGGAGATTCTAGCATATTGTACATGATCCACCAATCATTTAGTTTCAAGTTCAACTTAACTAAGAGAGCACCAAGCTGACTAACAGTGATGGTAACAACACAGCCAATAATAAAGAAGCGATACCTATGACTGGTAACCCACAACTGTCTCCTAATCCTGACGTGCTCTTTGAATATCTCCCCAGCCTCAGACCCGCACCCTTCGAACAGCTTGTGGACCCCTTCGAACCTCAGCTTCTGGAGCTCGCACGTGAGCCTGAACAGCACGCACACCAGCAGGAACACCCCCGTTCTGTACACCCACGACACCAACACCAACACGAACGCTATCGAGTTCACCGGCAACCCCGACCTCGTGTGTGGCAACGAAACCTTAACCGCTGAGAAGAATATGATCTTGTGCGCCAGCTCCACCAAGAAGGAGGGTAGCATTATGTATGTCAAGTATCTGAAGGCCTTCTCTAGCTCCCGTGTGTACCCGCGTTTCACGTAGCTCGTGTCTTCTTGCAATGCGTCTAGAAACAGAAGCTGTCGAAGCCCGTACCTGCATTGCATTGCATTTGCATCCATAAACAAACAAACAAACATATCACTAACATAATTAATCACTAATATGCATATTTGTCATGTCACTTGTATCGCTGTCTGTCGTGTCAAAGACTAATCTTATTTGTAGTAGTGGGACACAGCCATTGATCCAAAAAGATTTTGAACATGATAGGATCAAGTGCGAGGTTTTTCACTAAATAAATTGTAATCTGATTAACAATTATGTCGACACATAGGACTTGAGCAAAGATTTGTGTCTTGAGAGGATTGAGAGGAGACAAAGATTTGTATATGTACAAAATCTCAATCTTTGACTATCTTAAGATTGAACCAATTGTACGCTTAATTTTTCTCGTGATAAGAAAATAATGATGATTGTTAAAGAGGTTTCGATGCAATGGATTGAAGATTGGAGATTCTAGCATATTGTACATGATCCACCAATCATTTAGTTTCAAGTTCAACTTAACTAGCAAAGAATTAAATTAGTCAAACTCTTCTCTATAGCACTTGAGATTTGATAGTAAATATGATTAATCAAAAACATGATTTTTTATGTCTTTTTGAAAGATATAGTTTTATTTATTGTACTTGGTTATTGGCCCGATATATGTATCTAAAAAGTACTCATGTATTTGAATAAGTATTTATTCTTTTTTTGTTTTGGACCGGAAAATGTTGAGTATATACACAATCCAACAAGTACATATCAGGTAAGTGTTCAACATGAATTTTGGAATACTCATGCTTTATAGATTTTTCGTTAAATAATAGTTTCTGCAATATATGAGTCTACAATGTCTAACCATTAAGGGGACATAACATGAAAGAACACAAACTATACTTTGTCCAATTCTAAGAAATCTCAAGGCAACATACGATGAGGTGATTGATTTGGTACCTTCTGAAGAAACTGGAGAGAGTGAAGAAGGCAATCATGGCGAGGCCAGATTCAGGGAGTTGAACAAGCTTGTTGAAGGAGAAGGGGTCATCTTCTGGAGAGGAGGCAGGGACTTGAACAAAGATGGATGTGAGAAGAGGAACAACGATGGTGAAGAAGATGAAAGTGACATAGGAGATGAGTTTTCCAACGCATGAAGAGTGGTCAAGTGCGCACCACTTTAGGCTTATGCGAAAGTTTCTGAGTTCATCGAAGATCATGGACTTTGATCTCGCATATGATGGCTGTAGGAGCAAGGGAACACTACTGTTACAATTGGTTTGGTGCTGATGATGGGGTGGTTCTTCTTCATTTGCGTGGTTTTCTGCAAAAGACACTCTTCTGTTGGAGGGTTCAATGTCAATTCTTGTGTCATTCAGTTTGGAGGGATTCATTGTAGAGAGGAAAATGAGAAAAAAAAATTAGAAGATTGTGTTTGTTATTTATTGTTAGTAATTGTAAAGTTGAAGAAAACTAAGCATGAGAAGAGGAATAAGAGGTGAAGAAATGTGAGTGTTATTTATTTGTTAATAGTGTTATATGGTTGAAGAAAACTAAAGAAAAGCTAGAAACCTTGCTTGGTCTCGTGAGTGTTCTATTTGCCTTGAACTAGAGGTTTCAGTTTGAAGCCAAGAATAAAGGGTAATGGAGAAGGCCACATTATGGACAGAGAAAAGGTTTAGGTTGTCCTTTTCATTTGCATGTCACATTGTGGTTTTCTTTTGTGATGCTCAGGTGTGAAATGGAACCACTTTTATTGGTTTTGTGCTGTCTTAATAATTCTAATAAAAAGGCTCTACAAGAATCATGGAACATCGCTGGCCCAATGGCCTTAATTAAATATATGGGAAAATGAAGAATTGAATAAAATTGAATGAACAAAAAAAAAAAAAATCCTTCAGTAATAGTATACGAAATGAAACAAAAAATAACCAACGTGATGATACCAGTGACAGATAATTAAATCTTATGGTGAAGAGTTTGATTTAAAAGAAATGTATATAGCAGTTATTTAGTATGTGTATTTCAGTGTTTTAAAACCCGGACCGACCCGGCCGGTCGGACCGGTTGGACCGGGAACCGGTGGTCCAGCCGGTTCGAATCTGAAGTTGGATCGGTTATGCAGTCGACCCGTTTCAAACCGGATTGAACCGGTCAATTTTCCGGTTCAACCGGTGAACCGGTGGGTCAAACCGGTTCAACCACTTTTTTTTCTTATTTTTTTTTAAATTTTTTTAAGGGACCATAAATCACAAAAATAATAATGAAAATTGAATCTCTTAATGAAAAAGCAAGGAGTCTTATTAAATATAACAATGACTACTTGTTCTAATATATTTGTTTGCAATATATACAACTTAAATAACTTTTATAGTATATTATTAATTTTAAATTATATATTTAATAATGCAATATCTATGTAAATATTACATATATTATTTTGTGATATTAATTGCAAGCATATTATATATGTACATATTATTTATATTTTTAATTTGTATTAATATACCATTTAACATATAATTTTTTTATGTATTTTTTACAAAATAAAAATAAAAATAATTTTAAATAAGATAGAAAAATTGAAATTTAAAATAAGATATGAGTTTATTAAAATTTATAAGTATAAAATATATTTAATATAAATATTTTTTAATAAAAATCGAGTCATGCGGTTCAACTAGTGACCCACCAGTTCAACCTTTGACCCACTGACCCAGTACCTTAACCGGTTCGATGACCGGTCCGGTTTTTAAAACTATGGTGTATTTACTAAAATTTGTAATAAATTATATAAAAATAAATAAATAATACATTTTATACTGATTATTTTTCTCTAAGAATTTTGTTTTCATTATAAAGAAAAATGATATGATTCATAATAATTATAAAAAAAATTATATATTTAAATTTGTAGGTTATAATAAAAAAATTAATGATGAATACAAAGAAAAAATAATGGTGTTTATATAATAATATTATGTAAAAGATCCGTAATTTTTTTTCTTGTAATTTCAAGTTGGTTTAGTTTCTATGTAATATTTTTACCTTTATGGCTTTATGTAAAAAAAAATCAAATATTTAATTTAATCATTTTAGCTAGGATTCTATTTTTAATTATATGTATAAAAAGTGAAAATTTGTAATATCTTCTGTCCTTCTAGCTGATATATATATAATAAATAAAACTTTAAATTAAATCTTATTTCTTTACAAAACAACGGAATAGTTTAAATCAAACGCCTCAATATATAGAGGATTCACATTCGAAAACGAGTCAATATACAAAGTCTTCAAGTTGGCATTAAAGTAAAAATACTAAATAATAAATTTGAACAAGAATAAGGAAAATATCATGGCTCTCCAAAAGGCTATACAAGTCTAATAAAATCTAAAAGAAAATATCCCTAAATGTAACAAGACAAATCCAAAATAAATAACTTATAACATAATAGTGAAGTCAACTAAGCCTCGGTCTCACATTTCTATCAAAAAGAATAATTAAAATAAAATGTGTTTTTGAAAATTAATTGAATGAGTTTTTGAAAATTAAGGAGGGTTTTTGAAAATATTAATTATATTATATAAGTGTTATTTTGGGGGTTATAATTGTTTTAGTTAATAAAAGAAAAAGAAAGGAGATGATTGACTCTGGCTTAGTTTCTCTAACCCAAGATGCAATTTGGTTAAGGGGGGTTTGGTAGAGAGGTTAATGAATCAGTTTTTCAATTTACATTCTATCCTTTTTTCTTTTTCTCTCAAAACTCAAAGACACTTAGAGAGAATGTCGAAGCTACATGAAAGAATCACCGCGAAGATCCCTTGTTGCCGTCAAGTGTTTATCAAGGTAAGAAAGTAATGAGTTGACTCACTCATGGGGTGTGGTTTACTTGTTGGGTAAAGGGAATAACCCTCAATCCTATTTGTTTGTTTTATGTTGCTCTGTAGGAGACCTTGAGAGTCCTTTATTTGCTTGTGTTCTACGATTTAATGGTTCATTTGTCTTATATTGCCTTTGTTTGAATTATGTAATGCTTTAAAATGTGTATGAGTATGTTAGATGTGAATATGAATTAAAGTAAAGAACCCTTAGACTCATGTAGAAACCCAATTTTATAAAGCAAGTTGAAGAATAATGTAGTTAGAGATTAAGAAATTGGTGTGATAAACAAGTAATTAATGTATCATGCTTCAATTTGACTGATTAGGATGAGTTAAAACTGAGAATTTGTGACTTGAGCGATTTTCACAATTTCTATAAGAAAGGGCACGAAATGGCCATCACATTATTCTTGGGGACATGGCATTGAGCACCATGATCTTGAGAGCAACAGGAGACTCTCTACCTTGACAACGTTAGGTGCTAACATGACCATGCTTGGAGTGAGAGTTCAAGTAGATCTTTATGGCTTTGACATTGGGTGTTAATATAGTCACATTGGGTGAAAGACCTTTAAAGAGCAAAGGGTGCTTTTTATGAAGGTCGTACAAGGTGAGCACCAAGTGCAAGGTGAGTCTCGCCTAGCACCACCCATTGTGTAAAAATAATTGAGGTCCTTTGAAATGACTAAGTTAACAACTCCTTGAGGTTGTATGATGATAGATATATTCATAGAGTTATAGAATGAGGTTAAGAGTGTTGTAGTGACTAGTAGTATTTTTATGATTAAGTTATGAGATGTATGAACCTTGTGTAGGCAAAGTCTTATGAAGTCTAAGCTGATGGCTTAGCCATGCTAAAAGCCTTAGCATGAGTGCCTAGCCGAGATAAAATGATAAAGAAAATATTTTGAACATGGGTTAAGTAATGATGTGTATGAGTCTTGCATTGTGTTTTGTTGTATGACATGTATCATATGCATAAAATTAATTTTTGTTACGGGGTATCGATGTGGAATACAATGGCCAAGAAGGTTCCACCTATGGTTTTAATTTGGGGATTCACAACCTTGGTAACAACTAAATTTGGGAGTCGTAGTTTCGCTTGTTGTGTGCATGAGATGTAACTTGTTGCAACATTGTTATCCTATTGTGCCTGGTGGATCTTCCCCCAAGTGAAAGTGTTGGGTGTTAGACGCCTTGGTTGGGTGTCCATTATCAACATGTACTCCTAGGATACCCTATAAGCCTTCGGGTGACGTGTGTTTTTGATTGGTGTCACATGCATGTAGAATCATGTTAAGTCAGTGCATCTCACATTTGGTAATTGTATTGTGTTTGTTGATGAATTAATAATTCCATGGATCATATTTTGTTACGTTTGTTGTGATTTATTTATAATTGTATATTATATGCTTAAGTTTTTCTTGTGGTTGTTTGTCATTATCTCACACCAAGAATATGAGTGAAATGTATCTTACTTCCTTTCTATTTCTCTTATTGTTTTCAATTTGGTTGAACCCCATTTTAGGTTAAGATCATTGAGAGATTGGTACTGATGATGAGGCTACATGCTTGTGTTGTGCTCTAATAGGATTTGACATCGATGCTAGTAGAGATTAGTTGATTTGCTTGATTTGTTTCTTTACATTAGGATCCTTTTGTTTAGTTTCTTTTATGACTTATATTATCCTTTTGAGTGCCAAAGTCCTTTACTCTCTTATTTCTTTCACGTATTTTGTATAGTAGTTTATCTATGAAAAAAATTATAGAGTTGTTATTATGCTTAGTTTTATGAACTTAATGCAAATGTGAGTTCTCTATCCTTAAGGTATTTTATGCAAAAATATATGTCCATTATTTTTAATGAAATTATTTTACTTGAAAGACTTTTTTATTATATGTTTTAGCAAGAAGGGCAAAGGATGTTACATTTAGTGGTATTAGAGTCAAGTCAATTCAAACCGGATTGTGTGTTGTATCATGACCATGTTTCCATGTGTACTCTAATTTGTGATCGGTTGTTTGTTGTTGTTTTGCTTAGACTATTATTTGATGTGTTTACTTTTCTTGTGAACCAAAAAAGCAATGGATGATTGGTTCATTCAGTCAATGTGTTATGTACTTGTTATGTTTCTTTGTGCACTTTATGTGACTTGTTTCTTTGTTTGTTTGGCTTGATTTCTTTTGTTTGTTTAATTGTTTGCTTACTTCTTACTTATGTAAGAAGTAATGGTTGTTTGTAGAAACAATTTTACTATTGTTAATGATCTCCAAGCCTTATTTAGGTAGTTGAGAGAAATCATAATAGTGTAGGTTTTGGTTTGAGAAGGTTAGATTTTTAGATCATGTCATATTTGAGGGAGGTATAGTAGTAAACTCATCCAAAGTAGAAGTTTTTCTTGAATGGAAAAACCCCTAAGTTCGTGCTTGAGATTAGGAGTTTCTTAGGTTTAGTTGTTTACAATAGAAGGTTTATAGAAAACTTCTCTAGATTAACTTTACCTTTGACTAAGTTGACTAGAAAAAATCAAGCCTTCGTGTGGGATGCCAAGTGTGAAGAGAGATTTCAAGAGCTTAAGAGTATGTTAACTAGTGCTCATGTCTTAGTTTTACCTGAACCTAGTGAATCCTTTGTGATATATTATGAAACCTTTAAGATAGGATTAGGAAGAATGTTTATGTAGAAGGGTAAAATGGTAGCCTAGGCATTTAGTGAATTGCTCATAACTCCATAGAGTAAGTGATGAACTAAGGTTTGTATTAGTGTAAAAAAAGTATAATTCATAAGCACGATGATCTTGATTGCAAGATCATGATTTAGTAAGTGGAATAGGATGCAAATGCTAAATAATAATGGTTGTCCTAAAAGTGGGATCAAAGTGAAAAAGTTATTTGGAGGCTTAAAAGTGTGATTTAATGCTATAAGTTGATCCTAAGAAATGATTAATTTGCGATAGTAGATTGGAGTGGTTTGAGGCACGTTAAAGGCCATTTTAATGGTGATTTTGTTGAAAGAGTATTATTTAATTGTAGTTATAAGTTAAGGACTTTAATCATGTGTAAAATACCTTATATGATGTGAAAAATGTATGGAATTAATATAGGTAACTATTAAGAGTGTTTGAGTATAGGAAGTTATAGACTAGATATATATTAAGAAGCCAGATGCACCACTATGCTAAGTAACTATATGTGACCTAACTAGATAATTTAGTAAGAATAGTATGAATACTTAGTCAAAATCTCTACATTTACCTTAGCAAGTGCTTAAATAAGCCTAAATTGGGGGTAGAACACCAATGTACATACTTCATTACTAATCCATGTGTTTCAGCATCATCTTATACTCAAATTAGTGATTATAAATTTCCAAAACTTTAAAACAAATGATAAGAGTCAAAACTACACATTTTAGGTGCCATGGACTTGACCCAAAATGGGAAAAGGCCAAATAATTTCTTTCAAATTGAGAAATATAGAATTGTAGCAATCATTACCACTAACTCATGTTTAGGCTTTTGTGTATAACACCTAGATTTCATTGAAGTTTAATGAAAACATACAGAAGGGGGAGTTGAATGTGTGTGAACGAACGATTTTAAAACCGTTTTCACAAACGTGCTTCTTTCCGTTTGAAAGTATGGTTATAAATGCTTTGACAAAAATGCATAATTGTTTAACAAATGCCTTGCATCTAAAGATCTATCGTCTGTTCAATAATGGTTTCTTGAATTCAACAAGTATAACTTCGTTTATGTATGATTTAAAAATTAAGTAATAGTAAACAAATTTTGTGATAGATCAGTATAAGCAAAAACTACGTTTTTAACATAGAAAATAATGCACAGAGTTTTTATACTAGTTCACTCGTTCTGAGCTACGTCCAGTCTCCTTCAACTGAAGGGTTCCACTAATCACAACGGATTACAAGTATTCTTTACCACTTATGGTTCGTCAACTTCACTCACTGACGCTAGTATTCTTAAAACACTTCTAGTTCCCCAAGTATTCTCAATCACTACTGGTTCATCAACTTCACTTGCTGTGCTAGTATTCTTAAACCACTTCTGGTTACCCAAGTATTCTTTCGCTAGTCTCTTTAGGCTTTACAGACGATAGTTGTTTTGAGTGTGTTTGTAACTCTCACAGAGAGAATGAAATGATTTCAACACTCACTAAGGTTTTCAACCCTAGTTTTACAAGAATGTGTTTTGAGTGTGTATGTAACTCTCACAGAGAGGATAAACTGATTTCTACACTCACTAAGATAGGCTATCTTAGTTTTACACTGATATTTAAATTTTGCACAAGAAGAGAAGTAAGGTTGTTTTGACACTTGTTTTTGGCTTATTGCTTATTCCTTCTATCTTATTTTCTTTTTTTCTCAGGTCTTGATATTTATAGCCTTGTGATAGATCTTCCCGTTATTTGAATTTGAATGTGTCCGTTGAGGCGATGCTTTCCGTTGGCATAGATAAGCGTTCATTCATGGCTACATAGATCTTCTTCATTTAATGCGTTTGATTTTGCATTAAATGTTTTGCTTGTTTAATCTGTGTCACGTGAAGTCCTTTGAATAATTTGTCTCCTTTTATTTTTGACTTCAATCATGACCTAGGTATGTTTGTCCTTTTTCGATCATTGTAGCTGCGGAGGCATTGCCTTTCTTTGAAAAGTAGGTGTACTTGTCCTGACACACGCAGCTTTGACTTGTGAATTCATGCTCTTGCATTTTTCTTCTTTCTTTTCATATCTTTGATAACTCCGTGCTCTTTTCTTATAACCGGAGATGTTGTGTGCTCTTCCTTGTTGTGACTAGTGGATTCTAAATGCTTTTCATCATGCTTCGTTTGCGTCTGGAAAATGAGTCTCCGTCTAAGGTTTAGACTTTGACTTTTTCATTTCGTCTGATCAGTCTTGAGGATGAATAACTCTTATTCCATCTGGAATGCTTCTTCGTCTCGGATTATCCAACGACTGATGATTGTTTTGTTGACTTGAATATGTATGATTGACCCTTTAGCTTCGTCTGATGTTTATTTGTTGCTTGAGCCAACTTTGTCTTGGTCTTGCTGTGCTATTGTTTTTTATTTATATTGCGCTCTGGATTTTTCTTGGCTTTTCTTCGTTTGGTATGTATTATCGTCTGATATGCAAGCCATGATCTTTATATTATTTGGCTTGTTTTGTTGAATCCTTATTTTGCTTGACCTTGCTTCATGCTTTAGTTTTGCCTGTTCTTATTCATATCTGAAACACTACTACATAGATTAGTAATAAAAATACGTATTATATTTGTCATATTCAAAACCTTGTTGGGAATTGCTTCATCTGACTTAACATTCATTTGTCTAAATCTATTTAAGTTATCATCAATAAAATCATTATGAAATCTTTTAACATTCAATAAATCCATTAAATGGACTCTTGTTTCACCTCGAAAGAAATCTTCATGAATAATCTTTTCTAATTGAGGCCAATTAAAAATCGAATTTGGTTGCAAAGTAGTAAACCAAGTAAAAGCATTCTTTGTTAATGAACATGAAAAATATTTCATCATAAGATATTTTTTATTCACTATATCACCACACTCAATTTGGTATTGAGCCACATGTTCAACAATGGATTCTCCTAAGTAGCCTGAAAACTTATAGAATTTAGGAATTTTAAAACCCATAGGTAACTCAGTCTATAACACAAAATTCAGAAAAGTCGATACAAAATGAGGCTGACTACAATAACCTATGTCGAAATCATGCCTATTTGATACTTGTTCAATCACATAATCTATATTCTCATTATAAATTTGATTAGGTTGATCTGAAGGTTTCGATTTTGTTGTATATGGTTTAGAAATCTATCTACATTTTGTTCTTTATTTATTGTCACAAGATTCCTTAAAACATTTACATTTCCTACTCCATGAGTTTGTTCTTTATCAACTCCCTTATTTCTAATATTTTCATTTTTTGAGTTTGAGGGATGAATTTGGCCATCTAATTTCTCCCTTATTTTATTCATTAATTGATATAGAAGAGTCAATATTGTTGATAGTTGTGTTGAAAGCATATATACAATATTATGATTACTATGATCCATTTGTTGTCTTATGAACTTGAGATTTTGATTCATAATCCCCACCGTGAGATTATCACTATCTCTCAACATGTTTTCATTTGTTTGAATGCCCATTATTTGCATTTGAGAAGGAATAAATTGATAATCTTGTTATTGAAAATTTGAATTCATATTTTTGCATATTATGAGTTGAAATTGCAGTCATTGGTGCCAAAGTTGGTTGTAGTTGATTAAGGGACATTTAAATATTCAAATTTTGTAGCCTCCAATTAGGCATTCCTCAAGGCCATCTACTCAAAGGAGTTGTATTAATATTTGTATTTGCATTCCCTTGCTAGGGTAGCACCACCCTCGAATTTGGAATTTGGGCCGAAAGAGTATTTTTTATTTAAGTAGTCAAAACATTCTCAATTCTATTATGTAAAGTGTGTTCATGTTTTATATTCGTAATAGCCCTTAGGTTTTCCAAATTATATTCAGAATAGAAATAACATTGTTATCTTCCATATAAAATGATTCATGAATTTCTTGAACAACATTGCTTTTAGACTTAGAAAGTTATGGAGTTTTGTAAATGACAATATTTTCTGAATCAGGATTGCTACTATTGTCATTATTCTACCACTTCTTAGTCTCACCCTTAACTCGAGACTAATTCTTTGTAAAATTTGGTAACCAGAGTCTCATTGGCATGCTAATTTATTTTTTGATGGAATTTGATTACAAGAATCTAATACAATTTTTTAAGTAGAGCTCGAAATCTTCCATAACCATGTGGGTTATTTTTTATTCAAACTAGTAACCTATTGGTTCTCAACTTGAAATAAAGTAGAAAGAAAAATATTTTGCATAAATATAAAATAGTAAAAATTTGGAGAAGAAATTGAGATTAAGAAGTGAAAAGATTATGTTTTAAGAAGAAATGGAGATTAAGAAGTGAAAAGTTAAGTTTGGAGAAGAACAAGTAGGGAGAAAGAGATTGTAAACAAATCTAAATTACTAGAAAGGAAATTGTGGTTGATAACATTGTAATAATTTGTTGATCTGTGAGCGTTGCTGAGGTTTAAGATATGTAAGGTATTTACAAGCTTCAACCCTTATTACATGGTACAAATTAGTATCTATAGGAAACAAGTTACAACTATTTATAACTACCAACAAATCTTGATTGTTGATAACTTTTGTCTTGACCTTCATCATTGATGTATGGTCTTGATTCTCTAAATACTTGAATTTCCATTGTAGCCTTGTTATAATGAGATTAATTGGAAGATAATATTCTAACACTTAATCAAAATAATACATAAAAATAACACCTTCCAATACTTAGTTGAAATGCTCTTAAAAAAATTGATATAATAAAAATGATGTTGATAATGGCATATTGAGATTTAGGTGGTCATTTCTATGAATATGTGGAACTTAAGAGAAAAAAAATTGTTCAAAAATATACCACATTTCTTAAGATGAAAACTTTTCTGAATTTTAGATCAACCAATGTATAACTTTTGACCTTGGATTTGAATCATAAATACACACATTTTCTAGATCTTGGATCAAACTTATTTCGATTTGATTTTAAAGTTGGAACAAATTACAAACAACAAAACATTCTCAATGATTTGACATCAAGAAAGTTTCTACATGAAAATATTGATGGAATAGAAAGTTTCTATTTGTAAGCATTGATAAATTCATAGACTAACAATAATTTTAAAAAATTCTATTTATTCATTTATAATATATAAATTTAAAAATACAAACAACTATTATCATATCAACAACATATTTGGCCTTCTTTATCATGCCAATTTTTTTTTTCTTAGAGGTGAACTTGATGGCCAAATGTTTCAATTCTACAAAACTAAAGAATAATTTTTCTACAAAAAAACTTCTTTAGCAACATCATAAATAGGACGTAATTTGAAAAATAATAATTACAAAAGAAAGGAGGTTGTTCATGCAAAGCCTTTTCTAGGACTTACAAAACCAAAGAGGCAGGTTAGGACAAGACAACGACCCTACTCAGAATCCAAAGCACAAGAGAAAATTCGAAGGCAAACAAAGTATGAAGAAATCCTCGATCAAGTGAATACCCATACACTGTAATTCCCCTGTGATTGTGTTGCAAATACGTCACTGCAATATCAAATTATGTCACATTATCAACTATTTTAAGGTGATATGTAACATAAAATTGTTAGATACATATCATAATACTATTAACCAATGACAGTTACAAATTTTGAAATGTGTTTAAAGTTATAAAATTAAAATTAATAAAAGCATTCTAATTTTTTTTATTAATTTGATATTCTAAAAGTAATTAATTTAAGTTGTTAACTGTTTTTTCTTTAAAAAAAACAGTATACACAAATAACAAGTTTCCTAATAATACATGGATCTAATGGTCATATACCATCATTATTAAAAGTATTATATTGTTAACCAATTAAAAATCATAAATAATATAATTTTAAAAGTAATTATTGTAAAAATCAACTTATTATGCATAATAGTTTGTATTTTAATAACAATACATAGAATAGAAGTGTTTCAAAAAAATTCTCAATCTATTTTCTCATAACACTTTCTTTGGAGAGATTTTGAACTCACCTAAAGTTTGTCTGGTTAGGAAAGAAGAAACTTGTGGTGGAATTACTGAGATGTGTATGTTGGAGGAATCCTCAGAATCACTGTCACTTGCTAGCCCCTCAGAAACTTGAGTTTTGCAGTGCTCTGATTCAGCAGATGCAGTAGTCACCAGCATGTGCCATCGTGTGGCCATTGCCACTATTCCTTGAGCTCTGTGTGTGATTCTCGCTGCACCCAAAATGCACAAGAAGAACCCACTTAACTGCACTGCTGAACAAATCTGCATTACAAAATTCTCACTCTCAAATCTCAATTAGTAGCATTCTTTTTTCTAGGCAAATAGTTTATTGTAAACATGACACCTAAAATACATGGCATTACGTTAAATTTAAGAATATAAATTTCAGAATGATCACTGAAAAATACAGGGCCCATCATATTGGTCCACAAAGGATGGAAATCACATTGATCAAGGTTGAAAGATATGTATTTCTTCATTCAAATTAGTCCTCGTATGATCAATTTTGAAATTTTATTGATGAATACATATTTAGCAATTAATTTAATTCATTAATGAAATACACACATATATGTGTGAGGAAAGAGATTCAGTCATCATACTCAATAACTTGGGTTCTACAAATGATTCAATTATTGAATTAGAAATTTTTAATGTATAAATCATGTTAAAGAATTTTTTTCTAAGTTTGAAACACATATGATGTTTCATTGTATAAATTCAAATTAACGCATAAAGTATTTTTACGAATATCTATTCATTTGAATTAATGAAAGGAAGTATTAAATAGTTTTCAATTTTTTTTTAAATTTATAGAATTGATTTATATATTAAGTAGAGTAAATCTAACAATACATATTCTTAGAAGGCATTTGGTATGTGGAATATTTTACATTCCTAGGAATATGAAAGGGAACCATATTTATCTCACTTTCCCACAGAAACATTCCTATGGGAGACGTGGGAATCTAACTTTCCCAAGGTTGGGTAAGTTTTATGTATATGAAAAAATCACGGTATCCCTTTTAAAATAAAATATATTATTCCTCTCTCTCCTTCTAGTTTCTTCTTCTCTTTCTCTCTCTCTCACTCTCCCTCTCTCTGTGTCCAATTTGAATCCTCTCCTGCAATTTTCTCTCTCCAGCCTCTCTCCTACAACATTAATAGTCATTGGATATATCTAATGGCTAAAATTTAATCTTATAATTAATGTAACTTCTTAAATAATTAAATTTGAGTCATTAGATATATCTAATGACTATTAATGTTGCAGAAGAGAGGTTGGAGAGAGAAAATTACAGGAGAGGATCCAAATTCCTCTATGTCTCTATCCTTCTCTACCTCTCCTTCTCTCTCTCTCATTATATTTCTCTTTCTCACTCTCTATCTCTCTTACTCTCTCTCTCATTATATTTCTCTTTCTCACTCTCTGTCTCTCTTACTCTCCCTCCTCTCTTCCTCTCCCTCTCCCCCTCTCTCTCTCCCTCCATATCTCTATTTCTTTTTCTTTTTTCTTGTATCTTATTATTTATTGACCTTGTCAATTTTAATAATATTATTAAAGTCTATTTTATTTATATTTTAATAGTATTTATTAACACTTTTTTATTTTTTATTTGAATGAAATGAAATAATATATTTTTATCTTTCTTAATTATAATGTAGTATTTTATTTATTTTTTTGCTGAATTCTGCATTTAGATAATTTTATTAAGTTTTCAACTTATAAAATAATTTAATATCATATTTGTAATAAAATTTGAGTAAATAAATATATATAATGAGTTTATTTTAATAAAAAAATATTTTTGTAAAAAATATTTATAAACTCAAGAAAAATATACTATCGCAACCAAACATGAAAATCTTTAATTTTCACAAATCATATATAAATATTCTTAAAAAATTTTATGAGTAACCTAACATTTTAATTATTCCTACGAATTATGATTCCTGGATATGAAAAAAAACTTTTCTCCTACCAAATGCTCCTTAGAGTAAGTAGATTCCCCTCTCTCTCTATATATATATATGGATGACTCAAATGAAAACACTTATTAATATGAAAACAACTATTAGATTAAAATAAGTAGCTTAAATTAAAATATTACAAATAAAGTTATCTCAGACCACCATCATCGTAGTTCCTCCTCTTATGTTACCACCATCACCATTGTCACTGTCATTGTTGACAATGGTGGTGACAGTAGTAATAATAATGACAATGACGATGGTAATGTGACAACAGTGTGGTAGAGGTGGTAGCTGTTGTAACAATGATGTCGACAATAATGTGATAGAGAACTATAATAATAGTATTAACAAATGTTTTCGTTGAAGTTATCTCTTATATATATTTATATTTTCAACCTATTATTATATAAAGTGACTTTTCTAATTATTACTTTAAAATGTCAAGTTTAAAATGATTTCTAATTTGTGGATTGTATAAGCATCTTTATGCCAAAATTAAACTCCTAATCTTAATATATTACAACATAATGTATTAGAGTCATTAACGAAAGTATTTCAGCACTTACATTTCTTAATCAAAGAATATGGTTTAAGTTAGACATTGAGTAACAATCAAAGAAACCACTTTAACCATAAAAAAAATAAAAATAAAAAAAGTAGTTGTTCCTCTATCAAACTAAAATAACTTACCAGAAGGTCACCAGAATTGAAGAAAGTCTTGTGAGCCTTGGAAGCCAAAACGAGCAAGAGAGCACCAAGCTGACTAACAGTGATGGTAACAACACAGCCAATAATAAAGAAGCGATACCTATGACTGGTAACCCACAACTGTCTCCTAATCCTGACGTGCTCTTTGAATATCTCCCCAGCCTCAGACCCGCACCCTTCGAACAGCTTGTGGACCCCTTCGAACCTCAGCTTCTGGAGCTCGCACGTGAGCCTGAACAGCACGCACACCAGCAGGAACACCCCCGTTCTGTACACCCACGACACCAACACCAACACGAACGCTATCGAGTTCACCGGCAACCCCGACCTCGTGTGTGGCAACGAAACCTTAACCGCTGAGAAGAATATGATCTTGTGCGCCAGCTCCACCAAGAAGGAGGGTAGCATTATGTATGTCAAGTATCTGAAGGCCTTCTCTAGCTCCCGTGTGTACCCGCGTTTCACGTAGCTCGTGTCTTCTTGCAATGCGTCTAGAAACAGAAGCTGTCGAAGCCCATACCTGCATTGCAATACATTTGCATCGATAAACAAACAAACAAATATATCACTAACATAATTAAGTTTACCGGATCATAGACAAATCCCGTTTACAGTACTATGACAACTGTTAGTTCAAAAGATGGAATGCGAGATTTTTCACTAAATAATTGTCTAGTCTATATAGTATTTAACCATTTTTCCAAGTTGCCAACTCATTGAATTTAAGTAGTTATATATGTCTCATTCTCTATAACTCTTTACTTTTTCCCTTCCTTGAGAGGAGACACATATTTGTATATATAAAAACTAAACCTCCAACCATCTTAGAATTGAGCCTACTATGTATGTGCTTCATATTTTCTCATGATAAGAAGACGTCTATGGTCCAGAGGACCATATATAACCCACCAATCAATTAGTTTCAAGTTTCATCTATCTTGCGAAGAATTAAATTTGTCAAACTCTTCTCCGGAACTTGAGATTTGAGAGCAAATATAATATTTATGAGAACTTGATTTTTATTATTTTTGTTTAAAGATGTTGTTTTTATTTATGGTACTTAGTTACTGGTCCAATAAGTATATAAAAAGTACTCGTTTATCCAAATTAAGTATTTACTTTTTGGTTTTTGGAAGATGTTTCGGGTATGTACCTGAACCCAACAAGTGCTTATGTGTGACATGAATTTTGAAGTACTCATGCTTTACAGACTCCATAGGTTATGATTCGAGAGTGTCTAACCATTGTGTCAAGTCAACAACACATAGGATTTAAGCAGTTATATATAAGTTGAACATAACATGAAACAACTCAAACTATACTTGGTCTAATTGCAAGAAATCTAAAGGCAACACGATGAGGTGATTAATTTGGTACCTTCTGAAGAAACTGGAGAGAGTGAAGAAGGCAATAATGGCAAGGCCAGATTCAGGGAGTTGAACAAGCTTGTTGAAGGAGACGGGGTCATCTTCTGGGGAGGAGGCAGGGACTTGAACAAAAATGGATGTGACAAGAGGAACAATGATGGTGAAGAAGATGAAAGTGATATAGGAGATGAGTTTTCCAACGCATGAAGAGTGGTCAAGGGCACACCACTTGAGGCTCATGCGAAAGTTTCGCAGTTCATCGAAGATCATGGACTTTGATCTCGCATATGATGGCTGCAGGAGCAAGGGAACACTGCTGTTACAATTGGTTTGGTGCTGATGATGGGGTGGTTCTTCATTTGGGTGGTTTTCAGCAAAGGAAACTCTTCTATTGGAGGGTTCAATGTCAATGCTTGTATCATTTAGTTTGGAGTGATTCATTGTAGAGAGGAAAATGAGAAAAAAAATTTAGATGATTGTGTTTGTTATTTGTCGTTAGTAATGGTAAAGTTGAAGAAAACTAAGCATAAGACGAGGAATAAGAGGTAAGGAAATGTGGGAGTTGCGAGTGTTATTGATTTGTTGATAATGGTATAGTTGAAGAAAACTAAAGAAAAGGTAGAAACCTTGCTCGTTCTCGTGAGTGTTCTCTTCGCCTTGAACTAGAGGGTTCTGTTTCAAGCCAAGAATAAAGGGTGATGGAGAAGGCCGGGACGGAGGAAAAGGTTTAGGTTGTCCTTTTCATTTGCATGCCACATTATAGTTTTGTTTAATGAAATGGAACTACTTTTATAGGTTTGGTGCTGTCTTAATTTGAATAAAAAGGCACTTCAAGAATGATGGAGCATCTCTGGCCAAATGGCCTTAAATATATGGGCAAATGAAAACTTGAATAAAATTGAATAAACAAAAATATTCAGGATAGAGAATGCATGTTTTTGCTTATATTCAGGATCAGTTGATGCTGCAATTTGCATAATATTGTGTATCAGGATCTGCACATCCACAATATCATCAATTTCCATGACTAAAGTGGATTCTGATAACTTTTACACGCTTTGATACTTACAGGCTTACAGCTGATGAGATAACTACTGTCTGGTCAACTTCAAGGCCATTAATTGCAGCATGTATATTTATGGAATTTGTGCAGAAAACAGCCAATATATAGTTTATATATCCATCCTGCCTTAAAACAAAATCAAAATAGTGTATCTTTATAGTAATTAGTAACTTCTCCAAAGCCATTTGCATGAAGGTACTGAAAGCTTACCGAGATCCAAAACCTCTATCCCAATGTGTAGGACAAGTGGCTTTGGTATAACTATAGACTCCATAGTTGTGTCCAGCATGTACCATCAACAAAGGACGTGCAGCAATTGATGGGAGTAGTAATTTTCTGTTCTTCACATTGACATAAAATCAAAAACGAAATCTTTCTAACATTAAGCACAAATCCAGGAAGAAAATCAGGAAAATTTATATACTCACACTCTCCACGGAACATCAAAAACATCATCAACAAATTCTAGCAACGTCATGAAAGAGATGCATGCTAATGCAGCATTGTATTCAACGAGCCACCGTAAAATTAAAAACAGTTCATAAATACAGTGCTTCACTCTTCTATTGATATATGTTTCAAGATATTAGTGCTGAACCAAATAGTCATATTACCATATTCATAACTTACAATATGTACTTACATTTGAATCAGCTGTGAAGTTAAAATAGTGAAACAAGATTGCCACAACCAAGAAGACAATACCAACAACTAAGCCTAATGAATCAGGCCTGCGAAGAAAAATGCAGCACAGTCAAAAATAGTCCAGAAATTTATGAAAGCAGATTATAATCCTTCCTATGCATGCATGACATGACATAAATAAATCCTTCTTTAACTGCATTTTCATAGCTTTTGATAATGTACAGCAATAACCTTCCTCTAATTCTTTTCAATTTAACTTTCTCTTTTCACTCTTATACACCCAAACATTCTGATCTCTGTATGCAACAAGTTCCAAATCTAATAATTGATTATTAAATTAAACCATTAGCCAAAACTACCCATTTGCTGATGTGATATCCTCTCATTCTAATGACACACTTCCACTACTGAAAATGTCAAATTCAAAAATGAAAAATACCAGTAACATACTCTTTAGAACGCTCTCTCTACTATTAACCGAAATTTATTTAAAATCACAATTTTTTTATGAGCCTCACTTCTTATTTAATGAGTACCACTCATGATTTTATCCAATAAAAGAGAATGTATTATTATTAACCCTATTCTTCAAGAATTCCATTGACAAACGAATGAAAGTATTAGAATCTATTTCAATATAAGTTTCGAAGTGTTTTGTACTGTTTCTTTACTAAAAATAAAAAGTTTTTTCGGTAGAGAAACTCTCAAAAAATACTTATAACTTGTATCCAAACAAACCCTACTCAAACTGAAATTCCCTCCAAATCCAACCAAATGCTCAATATATTATTATATTATTAAAAAGAAGGAAAATCAAAATCTAGCTAACCCACCCATGAAGGCTAAATTACTTTTTTTTTCCTCTATTATTAAAAGCTCTAATTTATTCCCTTAATTTTCTAAATGATGCAATATGGTCCCTTTCCATCATATCGAGAGTAATGGCTTTACACTTGGTATAATAAGAAAATGACATCCATCCATTAGTCTTGATTAGAGGAAAAGAAAAAAGACCACAATACATTTCAAAATTTTAGAAATTAACATACCAAATTAGACTTTTTAATAAGTACAAAACTTAGCTAAAAAAATTTATGTGCCGTTGGTGTATCGATCAGAATTGGAGTTTTATTTTAAATTTATGCAAACATATATTAATGAGATCTATATTAATTACAGGAAAAAACTTCAACACTAATCATCACCTAAATAACCATAATAACTATAATTAAGTTTTGTCCTAAATTTAATAAATTAGTGGGTAAAAAGTAATTTAACCTTTAAGATTAACTATAAAAAAATAATTTAAAAAAAGTGTGTTTTTTAAAAGGGGTAACGAAGAAAAAGTGTCACACTTTACCAAAAAAAATTCGATGGCGAAGTGGAGGCAGAGGAGGTATAAGTAAGGGAGGGAGAAGAACGAGAGGTTCAAAAGGAGAGCCCATTTGGGAGGGTCTGCGAGAATGGGTTATTCATCGGGTTTGCTATTTGCAGCAGAAGAGAGTCTCTTGCGCGCTCCCATTGTTAAACTTGCCTGTGCTGTTTCCAAGGCTTTGCTTCGCGCTCTCACTCACTCACCTTCTTTGCTTTGCTAAGCTGAATGTTTTTCTTTCTTGCTTTCTGATTTTTCCCCAGTTGGTCCACACCGATTCATCGTTAGCTGCCAACATGGAATTTTACATGTTTAGATAATTAGATTCAACATTAATTATTGATATTTTAAAAAAACATTGCTCTGACTTAATTAATGGTGCTAATTTAAATTAACTCCCTCTATTTTATATATATATATATATTTTTTTTTTTTAGGAGAGATTCATTTATTTTAAAAGTAAGTTTTACTTCATTTAATAATTTATATTTTATATCAAATTTTAACGAGATTTAATCGTTGAATTTAAAGTTCTTAATACACAGATCAAATCTGTAAATTTTAAAAAAATGTAAAAATTATTTGATATTTTATTTTATTAATTTAAATTAATAGATAATCATAAAAATATATCATTCGTCAATTTTAATTAATGAAACAAAGTATTAAATGGTATTCAAATTTTTTAAAAATTTGCAAATTTGATTTATGCGTTAAAAACTTTAAATTCAATTGTTGGATCATTGAAATTTGATGTAGAACATAAGTTATTGATCGGAGTAAGTATAGGTAGACTTACTCTAAAAATAAACGAATCTTTATATATATATATATATATATAAAGAGAGAGAGAGAGAGATGAGAGATCTATTTAACAAGAGTAAATTTTGGTTGAATATAAAATTCTTAATGCATAAATTAAATTTTTAAAAATTTTAAAAATCATTTAATATTTTATTTCATTAATTTAAATTAACTTATAAATTTAGGTAAATTTATTCTTAGATAAAATTGATCTCTCCTCTTATATATTCAAAAAGTTCTTATAGGCTTGCTTTATCTTTCTTTCTTATATAAAAAGGTGTTCTTTTGTGCCATAAATGTAGAATTGCCAAAATGGGTTCCAGCCCGTGGATCAACCCAGCCCACCTTGAAAATCGGTCGAGTTGGGCTAAAAAAATAAAAATTTTCATAATAGGTCAAAAAATGTAGTTTGACCCACTTTCAACTTGGCTCACTTACACTCCTATCAACCTCAACCCACTAACAATCCACTTAACCCATTTATTATTATATATATATTATTTTAACAAGATACCATTTTTTTGTAGATAAAGATAAAGTTGGTGTTAAACTTAAACAACATGAAATTGCTATAAATTTATCTACTCAAACCTCCAATGAAGTTTAATATTGATGAATAATCACTCCCATGAAAGGATTTTTATTTTTATTTTTTGATTATTTAAAGTCGTACACTTTTTAATTTAAGTTTAATATTGTATGTATGATACTTATTTTGACAATTTTTACTTTAGATTATAGATTATTTTAGGTTGGAGTTTAATTTAAATTAATTTTTTTGATAGTTTTTACTTTAAATTAGAGATTATTTTTTATTGTAGTTTATTTTAAATTATTTTTTTTAAAAAAAAATAGGTGGGTTGGTGGGCTGACGTATTTAGCCTATCAACCCATGGTGGATCAGATCGAATTAAAAAAATTTGGACATTAAAATTGGTAGGACAAGTCAGACTATATAGACCGGATTGATAATTTTGATAGTTCTACGTAAATACAAATATTTATTACATTTGATCAAATTATCACTTTTATTTAATCTACTTTTATTTGATGGTGGATCAGATCGTTCCATTTTAAGTGAAGTAATCATTCGGAACAAGGACCTCTTCGCATGGACACCATCGAACATGCCTGGAATAGATCGAAACTTCATGTGTCACAAGTTGTCAATATGTGCCGAAGCACGACCGGTAGCCCAACACAAGAGGAAAATGGGCACCGATAGAAGACTAGCAGTCGAAACGGAAGTCGCCAAGTTGAGTGATGCCAGATTCAATCGGGAGGTACAATACACGACATGGTTGGCAAATGTGGTCATGGTCAAGAAGCCAAACGAAAAATGGAGAATTTGTACCGACTACACTAACCTCAATAAAGCATGCCCCAAAGATGCTTACCCATTGTCAAACATTGACTGATTGGTTGATGGTGCAATAGGACACAAAATTCTCACCTTCCTCGATGCTTACTCTGGATATAATCAAATTCGCATGCATCCTCGTGATGAAGAAAAAATAGCCTTCATCATGGATTCAGCTAATTATTGCTATCGGGTGATGCCTTTCGGGTTGAAGAATGCAGGGGCAACCTACCAAAGGTTGATGGATAAAATTTTTCGACACCAAATCGGCAAAAATATGGAAGTGTATGTAGACGATATGGTCGTCAAGTCCGGAGACCTTGTCCAACACATAACCGACCTTGCGGAAGTATTTCAACAACTCCGCAAGCATGACATGAGGCTAAATCCGAAAAAGTGTGTCTTCGGCGTAGCCGGAGGAAAGTTCCTCCGATTCATGTTATCGGCAAGGGGCATCGAAGCCAACCCCGACAAATGCCTAGCGGTGATCAGTATGAGAAGCCTGCAGAATATCAAGGAAGTCCAGAGTTAGCCGGACGGCTTACATTTGTGTCAAGGTTTCTTCCATGCCTGGCCAAGGTAGCAAAACCTATCATTGGGTTGCTAAAGAAAGTCAAGAAGTTCGAATGGTCTATAGGATGTGAAGAAGCTTTTCAAGCACTAAAACAGCGTCTCGGCTCCCCTCCAATCCATTCAAAACCCGATCCTCGGGCGAAAATGGTGGTATACTTGTGCGTATCCAATGAAGCGATCAGTGTTGTCTTGGTGCAAGAAAAGGAAACACAACGGCCTGTGTACTTTATCAGTCAGATGCTCAAGAGTATGAAACAAGATATTAGCTTCTAGAGAAAGTAGCCCTCGGGCAAGTCCATACGGCTCGGCGCCTCCGACAATACTTTCAAAGTCACCATGTGGTAGTCCGAATTGATTGCCCAGTCTCCAAAGTCTTGCGCAAGCCTGAGTTGGCCACGCAAATGATGGCCTGGTCAATTGAACTTTCAGAGTTTGACATATCGTTTGAACCAAGGGGTCCAATTAAGTCTCAATACTTGGTAGATTTTGTCAATGAATTACAACTGAAAGGACACTTTGAGAGTGACCTATGGACGATGCATGTTGATGGATCCTCAAACAGTCAGGGTAGTGGGGCCAGAATAATTCTTGAAGGGTCTACAGCCCTGACACTCGAGCAATTCTTGCATTTTTCGTTCAAGGCCTCAAATAACCAGGCCGAATACGAGACATTGTTGGCAGGGTTAAGGCTCGCACAAGAGATTAGGGCTCGACGATTGATGTCTTAGACAGACTCAAAAGTCGTATCAGAACAGGTGAACGATAATTTTCAAGTTAAAGACTCCAACTTGTTGAAATACTACCACATATTCCAAGGAATGCGTAGTACTTTTGACGAAGTCCAAGTGAAGCACACGTCGAGAGAGAACAATGAGAGAGCCGATCAGTTGGCTCGGTTGGCTAGCAGTAGTCAAAAACTGGGACAACTGCGAACTACACTTCATCTGGAACTTTCAGCTCCAAGTGTGAAATCCATTGAATGTATGCTGATTACCGAACTTAGCCAAACTTGGATCACTGAAATAATGGACTTCATTGAACTTGGAAAAGAGCCGATAGACCCGTCTGCCGCCAAAAAACTCCGAACACAAGCAGCCAGATACTCGGTTGTTGGAGGGGAGCTATATCGCAGGGGTTTCTCAACACCATTGTTGAAATGCATCGACTCAGCACAAGCCGACTATGTTTTGAGAGAGATCCATGAGGAAATTTGCGGGTCCCATTCGGGAGGACGAACCTTAGCTGCTAAGGTACTCAGAGCCGGCTACTATTGTCCAACTCTCAAAAGTGATTGCATGCAGTTCGGCAAGTGTTGTCTCCCATGTCAAACGCACGACAACCTCATTCATGCTTCAACCGAAGAGTTACACAACATCAGCTCTCCTTGGTCATTCGCAATGTGGGGAATGGATATCCTCGGACCATTCCCACTAGCTAAAGGTCAGTGCAAGTTCTTGTTAGTCGCTATTGACTACTTTACAAAGTGGGTCGAGGCCGAACCACTGGCTAACATCACGGCAACAAACGTTCAAAAATTCTTATGGAAGAACATCATTACTCGTTTCGACATTCCTTACGCCATCATAACAGATAATGTTTGCTTATTTCCGTCAGAAATTTCTGTCGAAAATCAGCATTTTCCTTGTAGTGAACATAAAGTCATTGGACAATATCACACTCACAACTTTCATCAGATGACAACTACATCTTTACACCTTCAAAAATTCCGATTGAAATATCTGTCAAAAAATTCCGTCACAAATTTTTGATGGAAAAATCCATCGGAAATTGCTGTCAAAATTTCTGACGGAAAAATCCGTCGGAAATTGTAATTTTTTTTTAATTTTAATAAATTTATTAATGTAACAACTCTCATATTTGGCCTCTGAAGGGTTCTATTTCACAATATTTCACTGTTTAGCATGTTTTATCCTTACTTGTGCAATTTCTGGGAGACTTCCCAAAAGGTCACCCATCTCAATTCTACTCCAGGTCAAGCACGCTTAACTGTGAAGTTCTGATGAGTAAGCTACCGAAATGTCTATGTATGTTGTCAGTATAACATGTACAAATTAATTCATTTAAGTCATCCTCAAATATACAATCTTATATTTGTACTATAATAATAATATATAATAATTTTATATTACGAATAATAATAATAATAATAATAATAATAATAATA